CCGGCCCCACCCTACCCTCGCAGGTGAGCTTGGTGGAGGCCAGGCCGAGGCGGAGCACGCTGCGGTTGCCGATGAGCCCGTTCTTGAGGTTCCGCACGCCCTCGTTCCCGATGGGGTTGTGGCCCAGGTTCAGCGTCTCAAGGGTCTGGGTGTGAGGCTGGAGGGGAGGGGGCTTGAGGGTGAGGAGGGACCCGCTGGGGGAGGGAAAGCCCAGAAGGACAGGACAGGAAAGATGCCAGCAAACAACCAGGCACGGGCCCTTTCGGTGGCAGCGCCTGAGCACCCTATGATGCCTGCGTACGGTGGGGACCTCGGACCCCTCGGGGCTTTCAAGTCTCCCTAGAGTGTCAGGCCCCCTGTCGCTTCCAACCCCGAGCATCCGACCCTCCCTCACAGGCCCCTGCCCTGAATGCTCCGAGCTAAGGCCCAGGTTGTTCACTGGCCTGTCTCAGGAGTGTCCCGAAGGCGGAGGGCCCAGCCCTCAGTGCGGTGACTCTGACCCAGGCAGGGCAAGCAGCGCCCACCTGAGGTCTCTGTACCTGCTCAGCTCGCATGGTAACAAAGCTGGAACGCACTGAAGGCTTCCGGAAATACTAACTTTTTAGGCAAAACACTCTCTCCTCGTGGAAAGTACCATCTCGGCCCACAGCACCGGACACAGAGCACCTCAGAAGGGCTACTCTCCTCAGGGTGGCTGGGCACAAGGCTGTGTGAGGGCCCAGGCACGACTGACTTTCTGGTTCCTGAACTGGCAAGAGGAGCAAGGGGGCGCCTGGGGCCGGGGTGGCTTCAGCGGGCTGGGCGGAGGTGGTGGTGGGCCCAGGCACTCCCTCCCTCCCGCCGACTCACCAGCGTCATGCCCAGGAAGGCCATGCCTGTGTGCGTGAGCTGGTTGTTCCACAGCACCAGAGTTGCCAGCCCCTTCCTCTGCTCCTTGAGACCCTCACAGATGTAGGCCAGACCTGGGGGGCAGGCTGGGTCAGGGCCTTGTCCGCAGCTGGCACCTCCCTATGGGACGCCTCTGCTCAGCTCCCTAACTCTGGCCCTGCTGCTGCCGCCCCGCTGGGCTGTCACAGTCTCAATCCTAGCACCCAGATGATGGCCACTCTCGGCTAGCCTAGCCCTGGAGGCAACTCGGCCCCCACTCCCCACAACCCACCCTCTGCTGCACTTCCCTGGTTCTTGAGTGCACACTGGGCCGACCGGCGTTCTGGCCCGCTCGAGCCAGGTCTGGCTCCCCCAACCAGGGCACACTCGAGGGCAGAGCTGTGTCCCACCCTAGAACAGCTGGGCACATGGTGCTGCCTGGGAGGCATGGGACCTGAGCTGTACCCTGGGGAGGGCGCTGGCCCCACTGTCCCATTCTATCCTCTCCAAGAAGGGTATAACACGCAACAGGGAGCCAGGCTGAGCCCACGCCTCCTCCAGGACGAAAGCAGAATGCCCCGGTATCCAGTCTGCTCTCCCTCCTCTCACTAAGCCCCCTCACCGTGGCTTTCCCCAAACACCAAGCACCCAAGCCCCCTCTCACTGCAGGGCCTTAGCTCCTGCTCCCTCTGCCTGGATTCTCCCTCTAGACCTTTAAAAGGACAGATTCTGCGTCAGTCTCCAGACCACTGCCCAGTCCCCGTCCCGTGGCGCTCTCCCCAGCCTGCACCATCTTAGGCAGCCTCCAGGGGACCCTTGCTCCCGAGCATACTGTTTCCTCAGGACTCTTTTCTCAGCTTATGATCACTTTAATCATCTGTCAGTATCTCACTGTGTCACTAGGTGCCAGCTGAGCTGTCCTCTCCTGGAAGCCCTCCCAGACCAGCAGCCGGAGCCAGCTCCTCCGGGCTCCCTTGCCCAGCCCAGCCCACTCTGGGTAGCCAACGTCTAGGGCTGTCTTCTTGTTGGACTGTGCGCCCCAGAAGGACAGCACTGGGCTGCCTCAGCCACGCCTGTGTCCCCAGCACTGCCCACACGGGCTGGGCAGGCAAGTCCAGAGGGTGAGGCCAGGCTGCACACACCTGAGTCCAGCACGTGGTTGTTGCGGAGGTCCAGGATCTGCAGGGAACAGTTGAACTTGAGCAGGTTGCCCAGCTGGGCCGAGTCCTGCAGGCCGTTGAGCTTGTTGTCGGCCAGGTACAGCTCCCGCAGGTTCATGTTCATCTTCAGGGCTGTGGCTGGGGGAGAGGGGGTGCTGACTGGCGGGCCACATCCTAGGCAGAGACCCAAGCGACAGCCACAGCCTACCAGGAGACGCAGTGCCGCTCGCCCTCCCAGGCCCCGGACTCACCGAGCAGCATGAGGGGCCGCCCTGACAAGCTGGCGTTCTCCAGGTGCAGCACTGCCAGGCTGCTGCGGATGCGCAGGGCGCGCGCCACGAAGGGCGCCGAGTGGTCCAGCAGGGGTGTGCTGCGGGCATCCAGGTACTGCAGGCAGCTGGTCTGGTGGGAGCAGGGCAGCGTCAGGGCTGGCACCAGCCCTTCCTGGCCTGGGGACCTGCTGCCCCATGGCTCATGAGCTGTAAGGCTGCAGCTGTCATCTGATCTTACGGGAGGTAACCGTGGGGGTGCCTGTGTGTCACGGAGCCTCCTATGTGTGAGTGAAGAGGGGGTGCCACCACAGCCACCTCCTACGCAGAGGTGGAGGAGGGGTGAGACTCAGTGCTGTCTTCTCAATGGCCTGGAAGGTGGGCCCAGCATCCCACATCAGCCTTCACACGAGGGCTCCTGCAATCAGGGCCTGACCAACTGTCCCGGGAAAACGCCTGAGCTTCCTCCACCCACCTTGCGCATCATGTGGGCAGCAGCCTGCCAGCCGCGGGTGCCAATGTGCTTGTTGAAAGAGATGTTGAGGTGGGTGGCCGACTCATAGTACTCGATCATGTCGAAGAGGGCCGAGGCACCCTGGAGGCAGAGACAAGGGGCTAAGCCTCTGGTCACAGCTGCCCAGGGGAGGCCCGTGGGCCCCGACACAGGGTCTGACAGAGACATGAGGGGGTCTGGGTAGGGAGGAAGTCCAGGCAGAGAAGGACGAGCACAGACAGAGCGGTCAGCCCCGGAGGAAGGGGTCAGGCGATGGTACCCCATCCCGGACTCCAGCTCTGCCCGAGATGAGATGCAGCCCGCACCTCTGGGTTCTGAGAACCAACCCTGACCCTTGTGTGCTGAAGCCCTCTGTCTCTGTGACTTGTCCCCCAGCATCCTGCCTGACGTGCTGTGTGACCAGGATGGGCCTTGGCCTCAGTTCTCTGTGACTCTTCCCTCTGGGCCCCTGAATGAGGCCCTTCGCTCTAGGTCTCCCGTTTCCCTCGGACCTGGGGCCCACCACTCTGGGTTCCTGGTGACTTGCAAGTCCGGAAGGGTGAGGATGCATGGGCCTAAACGGGGAGGCTGTGTTTAGATGTTCCTCAGGCGGAGGGAAGCACCAGCGCTGAGGCTGTCAGGCAGGAACTGGATGGAAGGCGGCGTGTGAGTGCTCCATGAAGGCGGCCGAGGCCCCCAGTACTCACTCGCCAGGTGGGCCCTGGAGTGGCTCATGGTGGCCACATGCCTCCCCTCAGCCCAGCACCCTGAGTCTCTGCCCTGCTCAGAAGGGTAGGCCTCTGGTCACACTGGCTGGCTCCCTCCTGTCCTTGGCCTAGGGGCCTCCTCCTCCTGCTGCGACCTCTCCCCACCCACCACTGGAAGAAGCCGGGGGGCTCCGGGAGCTGCCTGCTCACATCTTCATCCAGGTTTGTCTGCTCCAGGTCCACGACCTTGAACTGCAGCCTCTTGAAGACCTCCTCTAGGGCCTCGCAGGTCTTGTAGTCGAGCTTCTCACCTGGAAGGAGACGAGGGCCGTGTGTATCTAAGACCTGAGCCTATGAGGAGGGGGCTCTGGGCCCAGGGAGGACGAGGACTGGGTAGTCCCGGCCCCTGCCTGGCCAAGAGGGTGCCAAGCCCCAGGCGGGCCCCAACTCTAGCCCAGCCCTCAGACCCCCTCCAGCTCTGCCCACTACCCAGGGGTACTCCTGGCCTCTGTCCACTCATACCTTTCAGGTCCAGACAGTCGATGCGGTGCCCCAGGTCCGTGAACTCCTGGCAAAGCAGAGTGGGCAGTGGTTAGGGCAGAATGACACCTGAAGAAGCCGAGTTGGGCTCTGACAGGGCATCCGTGGCTCGGATTCTGCTACTGCTAAGGAGAAGCAGTACTCTGGAGCAGGGCTTGGGAGAAGGTTGAACAAAGGCCCGGAAAGCTCCATCAGTGAGAACCCAGAGCACATGGCCCTGGGAGAGCGGGTCAGCTCTGCTCCCCTAGGTCTGAAAACAAGCCAGCCCTGCAGCCATGCTGGGTCTGGACAGCCCCCTCTGACCCAGCCAGAAGAGGTGAGGGAATGGCCCAGGGAGCCTGGGGAACCTCCAGACAGAGTGGAAGGCTAATGCTGAGGCTGCTGGTGCTTGAGGGCTCAGTGAAGGGAGCGAAGGCCCCAGGGCAGCATCTTACCAACTCCCTGGCTAGCCCATCCACCACCCACCCCTGTAGGTCCTGTTCTCGGCTTGGGGTGGCTGCTGTGAGCAAGCCCACATACAAGGCTAAGGCCTAGCCCCACTGCCAATGTGAAGCTAGCAAGGGGCAGGTCTTAATTCCACACTGACAGGCCACCTTTCCTGGACCTGGCAGCCGCCCTTCTGGAATCCTCCACAGAACCTCCCCTGACCCAGGTGCACAGAGACAGGAAGGGAGCGCAGTTGCTCCCAGCACAGCTGCCAGAGGGAACAAAACCTTAAAAATAAGCAGCCTCAAAACACTTGGAATGGCCCACCCAGAGGGAAGGCACTGTCGCCAAGCCGGCTGGGCACAGGAACAGCACTGTGGGAGGCAGTGGGGTGCAGGCTGGGGAGCAGGTTGCAGGTGTAGGGTGACTCTGGTTTTACATAAACAAAACGAGCTGGTGGTACCCACAGAGTTCTGAATAGTAAAAGGCCAGGGAACCAGATGGCATAATGGTTACATCGCTGGACTCCCATGTAGTGGACCATGGTTCAAGACCTGGACCGGGTGGCTTGAAACTCATGCGGAGCCCATGTGTGTGCGGGCCCAAAGTCCCGAGAGGAGAATGAAGAGTATGAGGCTAGGAGACTGAAATGCCAAGCATCAAGGTACTCGGGGCAAGACATGAGAAACGGATGTTGCTTTTTATGTCTGTGGTATTTTAATGTTTTAAAAATCAGAGTAGGGACAGCAGGTGGGATGGAGGCAGCTGAATCCGACATGGCAGATTGCCCAGTTCAAGTCTCAGACCCAGCTCCTTGAAAGACATGCTGCACGCGTGTGCGTGCGTGCCCAAAACCACAAGAGGACAATGGAGAAGGGACTGCAGGTGACCATCCCCCGTAGGGGGTGCGTTCTCACTTTTCCCCCTCTCTGGTGAGCACATTTACTCTATAACAAATTAAGAAAAAAGAAATTAGAACATACTTTTGTAATTCAGACTTCCCAGAATCAATTCCGTAATTCAGATATGGAAGTGCATGGATGGCTTTTCCCTGGGGAATACAATTTCTTCTGGCGCTGACAGATGCTTGAGTTTCTTACTCTATATGATTCTGCATTGCTTAAACATTTATGAAGAGCCTGATTCGCTTTACGACTGACAAGATTTTCAGAGCGGTGGCTACACAGCCCTGGTGAGGGGGCCAGGCTGGGGTGGGAAGTGCCTGGTGGGCGCTCACCTGCTCCAGAGGGAGTGGGGCTGGGGAGGCAGCACCAATCACAGCCCACCCCACCCACCCGCCTGAGGCAGCCCAGCCCAGACTTCCCGCCTACCTGGAGCTGTCTGAGGAGCTTAGGGATCTGTCTGCAGTTCAACTTCAGGCAGGCCTGCTTGTAGGCTCCAATGACCTCGTCCACGGTCACATTCTGGGCTGTAGGCACAGAGGTCCCAAGGCTGTAAGCCCCTGTCACCCCCAGGCCCTGCCCTCGCTCCCCTCTCCAGCCCTCCCAAACGCCTCCCCAACAACAGACTGAGTCCTATCCAGATGCCTTGGCACCCCACACCGGGGCAGCCCCACCCTCTGCACTCGCCAGTCCAAGCACCTTCACACGAACTTCACGCGTCTAAAGGCATACACTTTTCCTCCTTGTCAGCTCTGTCCCCCACTAGACTGGGAGCCCAAAGCGTAAAGGGGCTCCACGGTTGCCCATGTCCCCAACACCATCCTGCAAGGGCCATGTTTTCCATGTTTTTTGAATGACAGCACGGAACACTCACTTTGATCCTATTAGGAAACTAGGCCCAGAGAGATGAAGAACCTTGCCCCAGGTCACACAGCGGTGCAGTGTAGCTGGGGCCTGGGCTCTCAGGGCCCCCCTCCCCCAAACACCCCGGCAGCTGAGCCTTCCCTGAGGGCACCGGGGCCAAATGGCAGGAGACAGGCCCAGCCTGAGCACCAAGGCCTTGAATAGGCCTCATGGAATGACAAGTGGAGGGACGCAGCTAGTCATGGGGAGGCACTGTCACCTGGTGGACCAGGCGCCTTCGCACCTGCACAAGTGTGCCTCTTCTGAGCATTTCATGAAAATGGATGGAGCGTTCCACGGACACTGGGCGTGGAGTCAGAGTCCATCCCTTCATGCCAAAGAGAAAGCGCCTGAGGTACCCGTGTCTCTGCACTGGGACGGTGCTCGGGCTCTCGCTGGAAGAGTTTGCCCCCAGAGGCACCAGGAGACCAGAGGGCGGCTATGAGCAAGGGGGTCGGGGAGGAGGGCAGGCCTGGCCTCTAGGAGAAGCTTCTTGGGGTGCACAGGTGGAGGGTCGGGGCGGGTAGAGGCCATAGAGAAGGCTTTCCCGCAGCCCTTCCCGGCCTTCCCTCACCCCACAGCCATTCCACCCCTGCTCCTGAGCCGGGGGGGGGGGGGGGTGTCCCCCCCCCCCCCCCCCCGCCCCGGGGCGGGGGGGGGGGGGGATGTCCTACGGGAGCTTTCAGGAACCACCTCTATATGGATGTCTCCAGCCCTAGAGGCCAGGACCCAGGGACCCGTGTTCTTACCAGCACTGCCCCATTTTCTAGGAGAGAAAACTGAGCTCAGGAAAGGAAACCACCTCCCTGGGTCAGAGTCTAACATGCGGCCCTGGAAACTCTTTCTTGCCACTGTGCTGGCGAACTGGGAGTGTGTGGCTGAACTACTGTGTTGGAGGTCAGAGGCTAGGCTGGGTCCCCTGCCCCTCCTGTACCAAGAGTGGGGTCTCTCTGACAAAGGCCCCTGGCACTTGGTGGCCCCAGGGATCTGCTGGGGACAGGAGCTGGTCCTGTATGGGAAGGCAGCCCTCAGGGCTCGAGCAGGGGCCTTAGGGAGGCCAGCCAAGTCAATACCCTGTTTTTTTGTTTGGTTTGGTTTGGAGAGGTTTTCGCTATAGGGCGCGTGCCCTCGCCAGGCAGACAGAGAGAGACAGAAAGTAAGAAATCACCCCCCAGGGAGGATGGCCACGCCGCCGCAATCCCTTCTCCTCCCTTCTCCTCTCGGGATCTTGGGCACGCACGCACACGCGCCCAGCGTGAGTTTTAAGCCACCAGGTCCGGGACGCGAACCGCGGTCGACTACGTGGGAGTCCAGCGACATAGCTATTACGCTAACTGCTGGTCCCTTGTTTTTTTCTTGTTGTTGTTTGTTTTTTTAAGAATTATTTTATTTAACTTTACTTATTTTAATTTGACCAGAGAGAAACAGAATGAGAGAGAGATGGAAGGTGAGAAAGCGAGCCTCCAGGTCTGGGACTTGAACCACAGCTGGCCATGTGGGAGTCCAGCGCCTTAACTACCACACCACCTGCCGGCACCAATACCCTGGTCTTAACCGATTGGGGTCCATGACCTTCAGGAAAAACTGCATCATTATTCTCACTAACAGAATTAAGTTCAACATTTCCTTTTTCTTTTTGGAGAGGTTTTTGCTATAGGGCGTGGGCGCTCGCCAGAAAGACAGAGAAAGAGAGACAGAAGGCGAGAAATCACACACACACACCCCGGGGAGGATGGCCACGCGGCAATCCTTCTCCCCCATTCTCCTCTTGGGATCTTGGGCATGCACACACATGCGCCTGGCGTGAGTTTAAGCCACTGGGTCCGAGATTCGAGCCACGGTCGACTACATGGGAGTCCAGTGACACAGCCATTATGCCAACTGCTGGTCCCAGAATTTCCTTCTTAATAACACAGGCCAAAATAAAAAGAGAGAAAAGAAGTCATGTTTAAAAAGAAACTGCAAAGCTGTCGTCAAAAAAATGAGTATTTTCGGGACCAGCAAAAACAAACAAACAAAAAACAAAAAAACGAAGTGTATCCCCCTTGCGTGAGCTTCTGTGGGTTCTGAATGCGTGCCCTGCTTTGAAGACCGTGTCCTCGGAGCTGCTGTGCCCATTACTGCAGGTGCCACCGAGGAAGGGCATAAGCACTGGACACAGTTCCAGGATGTCCGCAGCTAACTGCACTGACTGGCATTCTTGGTCATACTATTTCATTTTTTGCCTTTAAAAATCATCATGCTATGGGGGCCAGCAGGTGGGGTAGCAATTAAGGCGCTGGACTCTGACACGACTGACCATGGTTTGAACCCTGGACCTAGAAGCTTGAAACACACTGGGCACGTGTGTATGCATGCCCAAAATCCCAGAGGAGAATGGAGAAGGGATTGTGGTGTGGTTATTCCCCGGGGGATGATTTCTCACCCCTCTCCCTTCTCTGGCAAACATACACTTACCCTAAAGCAGAATCCTTAAACAAAAAAATCATCACACTACACCAGTTGGTGGCATGAGGGTTAAGGCACTGGGTCCCCCATGGAAAATGCACAATGTGAATGCCAAAGAGAAAGCGCCTGAGGTACCCGTGTCTCTGCACTGGGACGGTGCTCGGGCTCTCGCTGGAAGAGTTTGCCCCCAGAGGCACCAGGAGAGCAGAGGGTGGCTATGAGCCAG